CCAAATTCTGTGTTTTTCTCCCATCTATTTACTGTGGGTTGTGTGTGCTTTTAAAGGCAGAAAATGGAGCTACTTTATTGGTGGGAACATGGCAACGAGAAAAACACGAATAAATTAGTGGAATGAAAAGCGTTCGTTGATCCCCTGTGGAATTTAGACTGCCGGTTTGAAAGATGAGCTTACATGTGCCGAACTTAACTCCTATTTTAGTCCACTAAAATAGTTAAATACTGCATTTGATTCAAACGTTGAATTCAACTCTGTCGCAGCTCTGTTCGCTGTCAATATTCCCAGGCGCACTACTTTAGGCCCAGTGCAAACGTCGAATTTCACATCTGCCGAACTTAACTCCTATTTTAGTCAACTAAAATAGTTAAATACGCATTTGATACAAACGTCGATTTTGACTCAGTCGAATTTAACTCTGTTCGCTGTCGATATTCCCAGGCGCACTACAAGAGTATTTGCTAGACGAAGACGTCTATTGAGCGTTTGCTTAATTGCTTCACTGATACTCTTGCTTTGCTGTTTGTTTTTGCTTCTTTATCTTGGCTTTTCGTCATGATACTTTCACTTGATTCACATTCCATCGTTTCATTGAAACACGACCCAGGAATGCCCTCTTAGTTTTCAAAAACCGAACACCTCATACAAAAGTAATTACCGTACGTCAACCAACTGTATTTTGTCTTTTCAAAGCAAGAACTACAAATTCCTTTGTCTCCCACCCCCCGGGGGGGGACTCCCATATGAAACCGACGGGGATGTTCGTCGTCTCGCTTAGGGATGTAAATTTTGGATTTTGGTCTCGCTTAGGGTTTTCCAGGCAAAGCGCCAATGTTTTAAGCGGCCAAGGTCTCGTTTAGGGTTCCGCGAAAAAATACAGAATTACGCGAAGAGAAACAGAAGTAAAATTTTCTTTTTAACTTGTTTTGTTTACCGTATTACCTCAACATTAACTAGTTTTCTATTTTACCAAGTGCCGAAGAGACAATGCATGAACATGAGCGGTCTCTATTAGGGGTCAAAATTTGCTTAAGCTACGCCCAGATGGTCTCCTTTAGAGGTTAAATTTAAAATTTTCGACGAGCATCCCCGTCTGCTTCATATGGGAGTCCCCCCCGGGCTCCCATCATGTTTTTGTGCTGTTTTGGCTTTTTCGCGCATGACATTCACAGAATTCCTGTCGCGTTGTGGGTAATAAATTAATTATAATAATTTCCTGTAATTCATGCATTAAGTTCGGCACATGCGAGATGCGACTTTTGAATCAAAAGTCGAACCTAAGTCGAATCTTCGACTGTTTCTGTCGCAGATACAGCAAAAGTCGCATTTAATTCAAAACAAACGAATTTAATTGATTCAAACGTCGCACTTCACATGCATTTAACTCTCGCATTAAGTTTGGCACTTGTGAAATTCGACGTTTGAACCAGTAGTGGTCGTCTGTTTTGCGACTTTTATCGATCCACATGAAGTCCATCTCCTGTCAACACCGAGAACAACACATACATTTTGAAAGCAATAAAATAGCCGGAAATTCATCACGCAAAACAAAATGGTTCACGAATCACGTTAACATCGGCTCTTAATTCACGAGTCACATTGAATAAATATTCGTTCACGTAGACATGACAAGATCTTACCATCTTTAATCACGATTCACGAAAAAAAAGACTCAAATCACGATTCACGAGAAAAAGACCCTCTTTCATGGATGAAAAATAATCTGCTGGGACTTGATTTTTCCAAACCCAATCTCTCTCCCCTTTTCACTTCTGACCTTGTTTTTGTTTCACATATATTCTTTGAAAGCAGCGTCATCAGAATTAATCGATCTGAAGTTTATCCCACGGATCGCTGAGTAATAATGTCCATGCTTGGCCGCTATAGTTACTGTAATATGGCACTCAAAAAAGCGCGGAAAAAAAGCATGCCTTTCCGCGCGTAGAGTTGAAACGAGAAGGCCCTGGGACGAGATTACAAGTGGCAATATATACATTGTAGGTCATTTCGTCGGTAAAGACTTGTTTCCATATCTCAAAGTGCCCTTGGACGTGAGGTGCCTGGGAATGAAATTAAATCACTGGAATATAATTAATGCCCGAACTACCGACGATTTAGGACTCCGAACGTTCCCTGTTCTTGCTGTGCACAAATTATAAGTCCACTCCATGGGTGTTTTGAGTCAAGAGAAAACATCTGGCTTAGTAAACACCCCATCCAGCATAGTTCTGTCACTTAAGGTTTATTTTCGCCGATAAAAAAAAAAAGAAATCAAAGACACAAAACCTCAAGGGCGGTTTCAGCTATGGAAACGAGTAGCTGCACGACGGATTTGCTTTGTTTCCATAGCTCAAACCGCTCTTGTGCCCTTCCAAAATCAGTTTCAGGTTCCGGTATTGAAAAAATGTTTCGCGCTCTTTTGCAAATTCACCAGAAACAATAATCTGATGTCTTAGTTTCTTTAGTGGAGTATATTTGGGCAATGACAAGTGATGCAAATGTTGCACGATTCATCGGAAATTTACGATGTACGTTTATTCAGCAAGTCTGGCTACGTTTATCAATCTTACTAGTGCGAAGTTTCAGCCGTCTTTTCCCTTTACCCCACGGCTGAAATTTCAGACTACAATCTCACGAGATCGACGAAATTGTCAAAGAATGGGAGTTAAGTGCAAACTTATCGTTCACTCTTTGGATGGTGGATGACAACTTTGCCGGGAGAATCGGTAAGTCTGACGGTGCAAATAAGCCAAATTCTGTGTTATTCTCCCATCTATTTACTATAAAAGGGGACCAACTAAATCCTCAGTTGGTCTAGTTCTATAAAGGCACTGGGAGAAGGAACAGCACAATACATCACCAATCAANAGTGGGCTTAACAGACCTTGTATAGTATATGTTTCAACAAACTCTCTAATATGATCTTTTACAAGACTGGGTTAGAATTCACATTATGAGTGATAAGAAGACCCATTGACAAAATCCCTTGTTGGAAGACACTAAATTATAGTTCTGTGTTAGACCCATCAGCTACAGCACAAAAAGTCTGGGAAGACCAAAAATTGAAATTTGATGGCATACCATATTTTGTTTTGGGGCAAAAACTTTTTGAGGAAGAAAGCTTGGAAACAAAAGAGAAAAGAAATGAAACTGCAGGTATGGGTTACTCAGTAATCATTTGTCAAGATAAAATTTCCCACAAATTTTTCAATTTTTTTGGGAGGGAGGGAGAGGAGGGGGAGGAGGGGGTGATAAACAACACCTTTCTTCATTTAAACAGAAATAAAACAAGAAATAATCATTGACAAGTAAATAGTATGTGAATACTTTATTCAAAGGTCCCTTTGTTCTTGTTCTAATTCATTTGTCATTGGTTGTAAGTTGTACTTGTGCAAGGAACACTAAAATCCAAAAAGGAATATTTTTAAATAATTTAAAACACGTAATTTGTGGTACTAAGAGTAAACAAGTTGAAAAAGACAAGAACTAGTATTAACATATCAACACATCTCCCCAAGTAGAAAATTTAGAGCACTGAGAGTGAAACTCCTCAAAGTGCTACTTTGGAAATTGCTTCATTCTATAGAGGGTTTGGTATGTCAAAATTCTGTTCTATACCTCTTCTATGGTCTGGTTTGAGGATATTTAAACAATAGAGTGTTTCTGTAGAGGAACTATCGGCTGATAGTTGCCCCGCAGAAATTTGACATTCTTAAAACAAAAATGCCAGATTTAAGAACATCAAATTTCCAAAGGGCAACTATGAGACTGATAGTTCCGACAAAAACACTCTATTGTCTTTATTGTTTACCACTGAATTTTCTGCCGTGCGCCAGACCAATCATACCCCCTTCCCTACCCCTCCTACTGGTGACGCTTATGTGCAATGTCACCAATGCAATGACTGGTGGCACCTTAAGTGTGTTAACATACCACCCTGGGCTGTAGAATCTAACAAGTCATGGAAATACGAAACCTGCAATAAAATAAAGCTTTGAAAATGGAAGCTGAACATTCCACTTCTATTTAAGTCAAGTCTTCCGGTTACCACTGAACTACTCTAATTTGACTTTCAAAAACTTTTAAATAGGCTTCCTGAGAGAGTATTCAGGTAGTAAAGAAATGATAGGCACAAGTGATGCTGTTAGCGACAAAGTATTTTTTTGCAGCTTGGACTTCAAGATTTCTGATGAGAAATAGACTCACGAAAAAGCTTTTGGAATCCAGAATAAACTAGCGGTAGCCACACCTTTTTCAGAGATAACTGTTAGGTAATACGTGATATTTTAAGATTGGTAAACGTAGCCAGACTTGCTGAATAAACGTACATCGAAAATTTCCGATGAATCGTGCAACATTTGCATCGCTTGTCATTGCCCAAATATACTCCACTAAAGAAACTAAGACATCAGGTTATTGCTTTCTGGTGAATTTGCAAAAGAGCGCGAAACATTTTTTCAATGCCGGAACCGGAAACCGATTTTGGAAGGGCACAAGGGCGGTTTGAGCTATGGAAACAAAGCAAATCCGTAGTGCAGCTACTCGTTTCCATAGCTGAAACCGCCCTTGAGGTTTTGTGTCTTTGATTTCTTTTTCTTTTTATCGACGAAGATAAACCTTAAGTGACAGAACTATGCTGGATGTGGTGTTTACTAAGCCAGATGTTTTCTCTTGACTCAAAACACTCACGAAGTAGACTTATAATTTGTGCACAGCAAGAACTGGGAACGTTCGGAGTCGTAAATTGTCGGTAGTTCGGCGTTAATTATATTCCAGTGATTTAATTTCATTCCCAGGCACCTCACGTCCAAGGGCACTTTGAGATATGGAAACAAGTCTTCATCGTGGGCACTGTGGTTATGGCGAAGAGAGCGAGCTCGGACGAATTTTTAGCTGTATATTCCAAGGTAAAGGAATAGTTTTGCTTGAATAATCCATGGTAAAAAGTCGATTTATTGCATTAAGTGGTGATTTAAAGCACGGAGGATATGGTCCGTGACACGAACCTACTAGATTTTCTCTGATGAAGCCGATTCCAAACTGGAATTACATATACAACAGGTGGTACAACGGAAAATAATCGAGTCGCTGAATTATGTTGTAGTACTCATATATTCGAGCCCAGGTTGAGCATCGTAGAGAACAATCAAACGATACTTACTAAGACGCGGAAGGGTTCCATATTGATAACCATAAGTAAACCCATAGAAAATTGAAAAATCTTAAAGTAATTTAGTCTGTTTATTTCATAAGAGCTATAGACCACACTTTCTATTGATTAACAGCGTAATAACCCTTATGATTTACAAAATTTTATTTTGTTCTCCTTGTGCTCTATTGCTTGAGCAGCCCCCTCCCCCTTCAAATATTTTTTCATGCAGATTTCCATATACAGAAGACCCTAAACTCTAAAAAGATTTTTGAATCACACTCTTCATCATTATCACAGCAAAGATAGAAAAATATTAAACTGATCAATCATTAAACGGTGCCTTAAATTGTGTGGAAACAGGTGTCAATAGTTGACAGGGATCCTGAACATCCAAGAAATCTTATTCCTGAGCTATGCAAGCAGTTTTATCACCTTGACTGGGTTACTGGAACAGGGGGAGGAATTAGCATGAGATATAGGTCTGTTTGTATTATTTCTTTCATGGTATCTTGTACATTTTTTTTTCCATCTTTCCCATGCATCCTTCCTTTATTTTCATAACTTACCAGCCTGCACATCAGGCCTATTTTGTGATATGTTGGTGGTCATATTTTATTGATGTTGAGGATTCAGCCTGGAGTGAGCAGTATAGGACAAACTGGTTTGCTTTTCACCACAGCACTTCCTTAGTTGGCATATTTGCCATTTCTAGACTTTCGTAAATCCAAACTTGGTATCAATTGAAAACCCCATTTACACATCTTTCACATAAGATGTTGTGTTGGACTTGGTTAGTAGTATTTTTTATGGCAAAATGCTTGTGTTTGACATGCTGATTGTAGTGAATATAGATAAATTAAGGCTACGCTGTATTAGTCAAGTGTGTTGTATTCTATAGAAGCTCATATGTCTGCTCCTTACCCTGGGGTAAACGGTTTGGTATGGCCAGGCGTTCTAACAAACACCCTCCACCCCCTCCCCTGTCGTCCTTGTAGGGTGTCCCTAAGAGTGAGGCTGTTGCATATATTACCTTTAAAAGCATTGATCTCTTCCTTGAAGAATATCAGAACATAAATTTAGCTAAAAAAAGGCTTAATGGCATTTCCTTATTAGAATATCTTATTAATAGACAGCTGTTGACATCTTTCTTTGTTTTTGACAGAAATGAAATATTCATTGCACCCTCAGGAGTCCAGAAGGAGAGGATACAGGTAAATACTTCATAATTTCAGGGCAGAAAAGCTTTTCCAAGTTGTTTTTAAATTCTTTTCATTTCTTCCCTTACTGATTTATGAAAAAAAACTTGTCAACTTATGGCCTTATTATACACTCTTAAATTATTTCTGCTGATCTTTGTATTTTATATACAATTGCAGCTATTGAGAAACACTAAGTCTAGTAGTGATTATACATCCAATTCTTCATTCCTGTCAACGCAATTCTATCTTTTTCTGATATTATGATTTATTTCTTGTAGCCCGAAGACATGTTTGTGTGTGACCTGGATGAAAATGAGCTTTGTTCTCCTCCTCCAGAGTAATTAGTAATTTTCTTTATTAATTATAATTTCAATACATTCCATAATGTTTATCTGCGGTGCCAAAAAAATGTGATCGAAGAAATCAATCTGTACTTTATAATTAAGTCATTTTTTATTTCTAACTTAGAGTATTTTCTGATTTACATCACAACTTACAGGAAGAAACTCAAGAAAAGCCAATGTACTCCTTTATTTATGAATGCCTTCACAATGAGAGGTAACCACAAATACAGCATTATTACTCTACATGGTACTTCCATAATGAGTGGGTGACACACTAGAAAATTTTTGTAACCAATGGAGACAAATCTGATCACCTGCGTGCACAATTTTCTAGCAAATTTTTTCCATTGATTGACTTTTACATCGTACACCATTTTGAAAAGTAATATCATAATGATAAAGTTTTATTAACCAGATTAGTTGACTTTAATTCACAGCAATAAGCAAAGAAAGATAACAGTGATGGGTACATCAGCTAATTATGGTGAATTTTGCAGTTAGCATAAAGGGGAAATAAAGCCTAAATTGAATTTTTTACATTCATTTATAGTGAGCTTTAGAGAAGTAAGATTAAGTCTTGGTGGTTAATTTTGTTCACTTCTCGTTTTTTACAAGAAACTTTGATTTAAAGTCGCCTTTTTCCTGCTCTTGCAGCTGTAAGACCAATTAGGCTCAAAAACGATTAGCAGTGGTCGAATATGTTGTCATTCAGTTGGTAGGGAACTAACTTGAGAAAGCCTAGCTTGTTTCATATTTCATTGTTGAATTTGATCCCCATTACAAGCCATGCAACTTCAATAACTCTCTAACCAAAGCAAAGTTCTGAAGGAAGAGGGATTATTATCTGTCTTCCCCACTGGTGATGAAATAGTGAGCTAAAAATTAATAACCACTGACATCGCTTTTCTGAAACTACAAGGTCAAAATACAACAAAACTATTTTTCAAGGCAAATTAAAGTTGTGCCCAAAGACTGAAAAAAACATTTTAACATTGACGTTTGAACTATAAGCTGTAATTTATAATTAAAAATGATTCAATTTTAGGCTTCAGTTCCCCTTTAATCCAGCTGACCAGATATTGGCTATTTTATCAGCCAATTGCTAAAATTTGCAAAAATTGCCATTACTGCTCATATTTGGCTGCCTTTCTTTACAACAACCTTGTCTGTCAACAACTTAGGTCTATCAAACATTTTAATTTCTAACATACTTGTAGCACTTCAGTGTTCTTTCCTGAAAGGTGTTTAGAGGTTTCATTAATGTTTCCAGCAGGAGGGCAACTGGTTTTCACAGGCGGGCAAAATTCTTGAACTGAAGTTCTTTATAAAATAAACTTTCCTCCAGATTGTCAAACTAGGTGGGCAAACCCGTCCTCACAAATGGTCAATTTGCATGGTGCCCGGCCCTTAATGTAACCCTTGGGTGTTACTTGTTTCTTGTGTAAGGAGCTGGAGCAGTGATTCACACGCACTCCAAGCACTGTGTCATGGTCACTCTACTATACCCTGGAAAGGAATTCTGCATCACTCATCAGGAAATGATAAAAGGATTGAAGAAGGGTACAACAGGTGTGAATTACAGGTGAGTGAGGAGTGAGAGGTTTTGTTAACATTTTTAGGAGGGAGGAGGGTAACTGGTTTCCACAGGCAGGAAAAATTTTTCTAACTGATCTTCTTTATAAGATAAACTTTCTTCAGATGGCCAAACCAGGTGGGCAAAACTGTCCTCACAACTGGTCAATATGCCCTGTGCCTGGCCCTAGGAAACCTTGGAGGAGGATTGTTTTATCACAGTGCTGGGATTAGGCACAGAGTGTTTTAAGTATAACCTTGTTTGTGAGGTATCTTTCTTTCAACAAGAGAGATCTAAGGAAAGGAATTAGGTCAAGGTATCTTTCCTTACTGTCAGGGAAAGATGCCAGAACTTTGAATTTCCATGTTTTTGGGAGGTGGTGTCAAAGGTTTCTAATATATCCTTAAGGGAGACTAGAAATAATTTTTTTTAACTGCTGTTTTGAAGTTATTTTCATCAAGTCATTTTTCTGTGTACTTACCAGTAAGTTGGATTCTAGGGGTGGTTTGAAAAGTGGTATCTTTTCCCATCCAAGGAGGCACACTAGAAAGTATAGTTCTAAGGGGAGGATGTCATTTAATGGGTTTTGGTCAGGAAAACTTTCAAGGGAGGAGAGATGCAAATAGTTATTGTAACCACGTAAAAGTCTTGTTTGACACCGTAACATTTTAAAGTGCACATGAATGTTAGATGTAGAGCTCTTCCTTTTAAATAAGATGAACTAAGATCAGACAAACATTTTTTCTGTTTAGATATGATGAGGAACTTGTTGTTCCTATAATTGAAAACACTCCAGAGGAACGAGATTTAAAGGTGTGTAGTGTTAAAACTATCTGTAAACTTATGTGTTTTCAGGTTGTGATAATTGTTTTCTGGTAGGTGACAGGAAAATGTTCTCATGATAAATTCTTGAATTTTAAGTACAAAACCATGAGTGAACCCTTAAATCAAAGTGGATTGTGGGATGTGAGAGAGGTTCATTTGGTGTGATTTCATTACTTGGTCACTGCATGGTCACTGTGGCTGACTAATACAAAGCATCTATTCAATAACAAACATATTTGTGAGAAAGTATACAATCATGGATGAATGTTTTCAGACATCTTAAATTTATAAAATCGCAGGTTGAAAACACATGCTTTAGAGTTTTTGTGCTAGACTATGCACTCATTTTTTACTGTTTGAGCATTTAATTGTACATGTTTAATTTATGCATAATTAGTGTACCTTTAGCAAGATATGAAGTGCACAGGAAGATTGGAGAGCATGGAAGATGTGTAAGGGTTGTGCAAGGTGCAAGTGAAAGTAATTCTAGCTTCGTGTACACTCTCCAAACTTCCCAGGTGCTTTATACCTTGATGGTGGTACATGAAGCAATTGTTTAACCCATCAACGTCCAGTGCGCCCGTATGCGCCCATGGGGACCCACACCCTTTCTACGCCCTGTGACGTCATCAATTTTAACTCTGGAGCACGAATTCGAGCATGTACTTGAACGGCTTGAAAATATCTTGCAGACGATACCAGAATGAGCGCAATTGAGTGGAGGAGATTGGAGAAATAGCCAAAAAACCGTGTCACTTTGACTGGAAAATCTGCACGAAGATCGTGTTTCACTACCCACCTACCTTTCCGAGCATGTGCTTTGAAAATAATGAGTAGTTTCTGAAAAATCTCTACACCAAAATGAAGCCTACTCAATTTCCAGCAAGTGAGGAGAAACTTTAGGCAAGGAGAGGGGAAAAAAAGGGCAGGAGAAAGAGAGAAAAGTAGAAGTCGTAAGTGGGGCGTGACTTTTCAACCCAAAATGTCCAAATTTTGCTCTCTGCGCGTGCCCGAGATTTTCAGGCCGCCATTTTGCATTTGGATCGAAAGGCCGTCGAGTGCACGAGCTGTCAAGTGGTTTTTGGTAAGTTTGAGCTTTTAAAACCACAACAGTGACCCGAAATCTGCTGGACTAGCTTCAAAACACAGTTTTCCACAAAAGCTGCCGCCATTAATGGGTTAATATATATATATATATTTTTTTTGACATGAAGTTTTGATGTTTTATTGAAAGGCTTACTGTGCTAGATTTGAACAAATTCACACTCAGCATCAGTGTTCATAGTAGGATTGAATTTGTGCCAACAGGTTTTCCAGCTACTGGCATATTGTAAGAGATATTACCAACTACAATAACGACTCATTAAGTGTGTCTTTATGCCCTAAAGGAAAGTATGGCGAGGGCCATGGAGCAGTACCCAGACTCCTGTGCAGTCCTTGTACGTCGACATGGAGTGTATGTCTGGGGAGACACATGGCAGAAAGCAAAAACTATGTGAGTGGAATTCATGATAGATCATAACAGGTTCTGATGTATTAAATCAGACGAAAAAAATGTTTCATATGGAGTTGGAGAGGTTGTTATGTTGAGCTGTTGCTCAATGGCTGGAAAAGCGATTATGCAAAAAGGTGCGGGCATGGTGGTTACACCCAGTACCTGTTATAATCCTGGCTGGAGGGTTCCATTGTAGGAATACACGAGGCACTAAGAACAGAGATAAAACCTAGAATGTCTAAGCAATCAGTCCTCTTTTGTTGCCATCAGAACCTGGGTGACTTAAAGGAGTCACTAAAAACAGAGATAAAACCTAGAATGTCGAAGCAATCAGTCCTCTTTTGTTGCCATCAGAACCTGTGTGACTTAAAAGAGTCACTAAAAACAGAGATAAAACCTAGAATGTCCAAGCAATCAGTCCTCTTTTGTTGCCATCAGAACCTGTGTGACTTAAAAGAGTCACTAAAAACAGAGATAAAACCTAGAATGTCCAAGCAATTAGTCCTCTTTTATTGCCATCAGGACCTCTCTGACCTAAGTGACCCTTGACTATTTTGGCTGATGTGTAAATTCAGTTTGCCTACTTCTTTAAAATCAAAGGCCTCTCTTGGCCTTACAAATCTATGGTCCTTCCCTGTGAAGCCTTTCTAACGCTTTTAATTTCAATTATTCGTCTGAATAATCCTAGGACCTGCTATTTATGTGAGGTCTAACCCAAACCGCGATTTTACACAAGCAGTGGGCCTTACGTATTCCCCAGGAGAGGGTTGTTTTCATTAAATAGATGTCCTTTCCCTCAGTGCTAGCTTTCGGCCGGCTTTCCGCTGTTCACACAAATAAATGTTCAGATAAAAGAATCAGCTAGATTTAAGATAGTTTAGAACGCGGTTTTGTTAAACAACGTTTAAGCTTTATTTAAAGGAGCGCCCCTTAGTGTTTTATAGAAGTGAACAGGTTAAAGATCAAGATAACAACTTCTACCTGATAAGATTGATTATTATCCTACTGCACTGAGTAGAGTACAAAGAACGCGCGATTGGAGTACAAATACTCTGCGGTATTGTAGAGCAGGTCATTTTGTACTGTAAAAAAACCTGTTTAACCGGTCAGCTGCCCGTGCCACGCTTCTCTATCTGCTTCGGTTTTCCCACTTTTAAGAAATGCCCATGAAACAAAGCAGTAATAATAAATAACATGTTAGACATTTTGGTGTGTATTATCGCTGTGTATTTTTACTCATTGTTTGTGTTTTGGCTGGCCCTGCAGGCTCGTCGAAACACGGAACTACTCGTAAAAATACTTAGCGATACTACACACCAAAACGTCTGATAAGATAGAAGTATTCTCATTATCTGTTTGCTGGATAGTGTATTGATATTATAGGGAGATATTACGTATCAATCACTACTAAAAGTCAAAGGGTTAAGGAATGACTGCATTACTTTAATCAAAGAGAATCTTTGCCAAAAGCTGCAGCACAACTGACAAAAATTGTTTTTTGATGACTTGTTTGTATTATTCTTCCCAGGTGTGAGTGTTTGGATTACTTGTGCGACATTGCCGTACAGATGAAGCTCCACGGACTGGATCCCACTGCAAAACCAAAACCGAGAGAAGACGTTGACGATGGAGTCTTATAGAAGTCCATGTGTGTTAAACTGGTTTACAATGTTAAACATACAAAGGATGTAACTCTCAAGACTTTTCTAATGCTACGGTAGATGTGACCAGGAGATGCAAATGGCTACAGGGAGGTTGTGGTTATAAGTGCAAGGGGCTTGCGGGAAACTTGGTGATGGTGAGGTAGATGATGAAAATGAACTTTTAGTGCGAAAAAGGTTCACTCTTGACCACGAATTGAGGACATGCTAAACATGCTGATCAAAGGAAATTGTGTATCGTAAGATATTTAAGACATTAAGAGTTTTAAAATGTAAGAATACAAGTTCTTAATTTAAATAAAATTGAACACTATGTCCGAGTCCCGAAGGGGAAAGGAAAAATACGACGTAGTTCTGGAGAGGTGTTCCAACTTATAATGTCTGGTACTGTAGCTACTCGTCCACTTAGGTTTTCAACTTGTATTTACACTTTCGATTGAAATAACTTAATTATCTTAAATATCTTTGCTAGCTGTGGTTTGACGCTAAACAACCAACTAATCTTTAAGCTGCCTGTTAGTGTTTTGCGCATGTGCTTAACACCTGACCTCTGTCCAGCTTTCTACTTTCAAATCGCCTGCTCGTTGCAACTGCACTGTATTTCGTGGACTGGACTGGACTGAAGTTGAAAATTTAGCACCAGCCTTTACTCAGTTTCAAAAACTGATGTATCAGGGTATATTTACAGAGGTTAAAATGAGGGGCTAGAATTTTTAACTTATTAGAATATATGTAGGATGTAGAGGTTTTTAACCTGTCACCAAAACGTTCACATATCAGCCTACAACTTACAACACACGGTGAGAAAACTGACAAATCCACTATAACTACATTTTTAAGTAAAACGTTTTTCCGGAAAAACTTAACTGTAGCACAACAGAGTTGGAAATTTGATACATTTAAGCACATGGTGCTCTATGGTGTAGTGAAGGTGCTACATCTGTAACGGCCAAGAATAACAGTGATAAAGAGGCAGAGATAAAGCAAACATAAAACAAACTGGTTTCATAAGAATTCAATGTCGTTTCCAGCGACACAGGTGGTGAGATGTTAAACGAACAGATTTTATGTTTCCGTGCGACTGTTCATTATCGCAAAGGACGTCAAAATGTGCAGAGAACGAAAAAGTGGTACATGAGGTGTAGACAAGTGAGTTGTTGATGTCCTTATCACAGTTTTGCCTCATCTATGATCCAGTACTGTACGGACCCAAAGCAACATAAAATCAATTTTTTTATGTTATAAAAATATAAAAATGTTGTTGATGGTGACGTTATCTATACATATGTCTCGTAATAGATCATCAGCAAAAACCAATCAAAATGCGTGTATAATTTAGCCAATCGTATAATTTCGTAAATACCACACAAGCTGAAATACTATTGGACTAAAAAGTTATCTTTTTATTTCTGCGAAATGCTCAGAAACTGGAAAATGTTGCACCCCGCGCAATGCATGCGCACTAGCGATCGAGTGGTGGACTAGTCGTGATATTTGAGAGAGAGCGGCTACAAGTTCCTCTCAAACAAACTTTTTCCTGTCTCTTTTAAGGGCTCCGAGTATATTCTAAAACAGTTCTAGGAACTAGTTTAAATGATTAAAAACGGGAAACACGATTTCGAAAGAAGTCTTGTCACGGATGCTAAAGGTAGGGATCGATTGTCACGTATCACAATCGTAGGACAACTCATCTGGGTATCGTCTGACATTTAACACTTTTGGGAAGTTCTTTCTATGGCAAAGCTGTCAAAGTTTTACACTCAGATTTTACTTGCTATACTTTCGAAAACCCCCTATTAAGGAAGTCTAAGAAACCCAACATCAACTTATTGAAACACAGGGTTTGGCTCTCCGTCGAAATGAGTCGTGTTCTCTTTTTTTATTAAGCTCATGCTATCCCAGAAAAAGGCATTTAGTCTACGTGAGACAGTTTTACCATAAATCACAAGAGCACTATTCTGGTAAATGTGATTCTTCATTTATCACTAAACGAACCTTAACGAGGATTCACGTTACTTAACTTCGTTTACGTGCTGCCATAATCATTTCCCTGCATGATATAAACTTAGGTATCATTACTCCCAATTTCTTCCAAGAATGATCTCATTCACTTGTTATCATGTGAAAGTCATATGAAGAAATGGAGATATTTTCTCGGTCTCTTCAGTCAGACTCTAAATCACTGTGGTGTCACATAACCTATTTCCCTTTATAGTAGCTGGTAAAATATCAAGAGCAATATGCTGCGAAAAAACGTTTTTGCTATTTTTCAGTCAAGAACAGCAGATTTCTGTGAACTGTCAGAATTAATGAAAAAAATACAATAAAGAGCGGGTGAGCATAATTTTCATTCCTTATGGAATTCAACGTAGAATTTCTCCATGCAGCGGCTGCTCATGTAGGAAAGGAAAGAATATCGTGATTATAGAAACCAAACAAGTTTCTAACAATACAATGTTATGACATAAATACTCGCGTATCTCGAAATGCATGGAGAAGTTTTATTTGACAAACCTATCAAATGAGTTTCCAAACAGTCTTATAAATTTCTTAAAAAAGATGCTTTAAAATTCAGTTATAAGATCAATCAGAGAAATTCTAATTTATTCATTCAGTTCGAAACTGCACTCAAACAACATGTAAAAGTGTGGTACACTAAGTAGAATTGAAAAACCGGATGAGAGACTCGGGAAGAAAGGTGGAAGTTTCCCAATTTTAGAGATTTACTTCAGCGCCAAATTAGGAACACTCAATGTATATAAGGGGAGAGAAACCTTTCTCGGCATCAAAATCAACTTCAAAGAAGAAAAGAAGCAAAGCGACAACTTAGGAAATATATCTACAGAAGTCAACAAGAAGTACTAAGGAGTGGAGCTATGGAGGTTTACAAGGTAAAACAATGTGCCTTGCAATTGGTTATTGAAAACTGTGTTTATAAGAGTTCCTTCAATTCTTCAATTTTATTACTCAATTAGATGTTTTTATTTTAAATGGTTTGACCTGCCAACATGGCAGACTTTCTAATCTTTTCTAGTTGCTAAGGGTTTTTTTTTTAATATGTTCCCTCTGATGCAATTTAAGAAAGAAAACCGTTGTAATATATTCTGTTGATAATAAGTTAACAAAGGATTGTCACATTCTAGGTTCTCGTCGTTGTCCTCGCAATTTTTCTTCACCGTGGAGATGGCCGGGCAACCGGGTTTAACAAAATCGTGCATAGAATTCATGGTGGAGTTCCGTCCATGCAGGGTGCTGCCGCATGGAGACAAAAGAGGTCCCCTGGTGACGAGCCCAGTTGTTACACTGGCAGATTCGTGTCATTCAGTTTGCCGAGCAACAACACAGTTATTGTTCCCGTATGTAAGAAGATTACGTCATCCACAACCGCATGTTTCAGTTCGATGGCAAACAACAACAACCAGAGGAAATGTGTTCCATCTCATATGATCACAATGGAAGGAGTGGCGTTTAACACAGCCTGTTCATGTGCACCATAGAATACCTAAAGCTCCAACCTTGCGGACTCGATCACGATTCAGGGTCTTTTAGGCAAAAACTTTATTTATAACCGGCAGCAACTGCTGTTGAGAACTGTTGCAGTATTTATCACAGTATCATGTGTGTGCCTCATATTTATATGTATGTATTTATGACTTTATCCAAATTCAAAAGATAATTGCTGACCTGCATTGTCAATCGTTTTCGAAAAACCGTCAATAAACTTTTTAAATCCGCAGTTGATACATTCCGTGTATTTTTACGGGATCAATGAGATATGCTGAGCTAATGGTCAGTGCGCTTCACTCTGGTTTGACAGGTTCGGGAGCGCGGCCTGGTATCATTAGGTTGTGCTCTTGGGCAAATACTTTATCTGTTCTTGTACCCAGACGTTCCACGGCCAAGCGGTTTTAAGGCCTTATTACACGGTAGGAGTGGGTACGAGATTACACTTTACTCCCACAATGCCTCTCTCTACCCAGGAGTTTATATATTTATTTGGGTATATACCTGCAAATTATCAGGGAGGCCGAACAAAATACTTGGAATGTAACCTTGTGATGGATTGACATCCCATCCACGGGGGGTGGGGGGGGAGTTGTAATACTCGTAGTCGCGTTATGCCATGGAAACCGAGATAAGCTCCGACTGCATAGACCACTTGGTTCGAGTACAGAATTAAATAGATAACATATCTTATTATATGGAAAAGTAGTCCTGAGGCAAATTCAAGCGTTCTTATTGCATTTGGTAATTGCTTGGTCCGCACTGGTGCCATATGGACCATTTGTACGGCAACGGTCATGAACCGTGTATGTTTGCTCGCGAAAGCCAGAAAATTCAAACTAAACAGGTTAGCTCCGATTGCCATATGATAAACTATTAATAGCCTTGTTCGGTTGAGCTGCACTGGAGATTATTGGCCCGAGGTTGTGGCTGCACGGACCAAGTGAAGTGGTAATGGTAGTAATCCAAAAAAAAAAAAAAAGCTTATAGTGCAAAAAGAATTCCAATAGTTTTACAGAACTATATTGCATGGCATTTTTTGAACTTCACGTGACTGCGAAACTTCTAGAGCAGAGATAGTCCGGCACAGTTATCAAATTTGATAACCCCATGACGTCACAATATGGCGATAATTTATAACTCAGTGAGTTTTTGGAGGACATTAACTTTGTTCGTCAAATTGTCGGTTTTGTTTGCTTTGTCTACCCATAGTTCCACGTGATTACCTTACGAGAAAGACTGTCGAACTTCGTGAGTGCATAAAATGGCGGTCGTTGGTGGTTCATTGTGCGAACTTACTTGACGGTTAGAAGAGATGGCCCTAAAGGCCTTTGGGTATGTTCGTACTCTTTACCGTAAATTTAAAGGCAGTTCATTTTTGTGGAACACGTAGAAAAAAATGTCGTGTTCTTTGGTTATTGTTCTTTCGATTCATAGCTTACTCGTCAAAGCACACATTTTATGATTTGCTGTCTGATTCTGCTTCTGGCCCCCATGTTTCATCGTCTGTGCAATGAAGATCATGAAAACGCGACACGAGGGCTGTTGTTGAACATAATTGACTGGAAATGACCTTTAAAAATTCCTATCCCAATGTAAACATGTCTTTTCCGGCAATCAAAGTGGGAACCAGTCAATATGTATAGGTAATCACATGTGGATAATCTGGGACAAATTATTACAAGCAAATTTTGAAAGGCTGACCAAATTGCACGTGCCCGTAGGGTAAGTGAAATTTGTA